TTATTACTAAAACTTCGGATATCACGAGAGGTTACCAAAATGGTCACATAATAAGGAGTCATTGTGTCCTGACCTTCACTCATAAACAAACTTGGATTATCTCGTCAATTCAAACCCTTCCAGGCCGCGATTGTTAACTCCTTTCCTTGTCTATAGGGACGATTTTTTACCCATCGCTGACACCTGTTTTCCTGCGATCGCATAGGTGAAAGTGGTGTAAATGGGACTTAAAGTGCGTTGTCTTAGTGAACTTTTTAAGTAAATTTGTATATAACTGAACAGGTTCCTGTGATGTAGATCTCTTTTGAGACAATTTTAACGGGGGAGAAAGTGAGTCTGACCATGTAGGTGAGGTGTTTTCGTTGATCTGATCATATACTATTTTGTGAAAGATGCTTTCGCCGAGTTGACATTGTGATGGATACCAAGATGTCCATGCACGCCAATCTGCCCTTTGTAATTTTTCACTGTGAGCATGTGGACATAGGTGATTTTGGTCCGCAGCGTCCAAGTCTTGCGTACTTCGTGGGGGCAGTGTCTAGGTCTGTCGAACTTTGGTATCTTTATAGTCGTTGACGTTTTCGGTTGAATTCGTAATAAATCATGACTTGTAAGTCGAGAATACTAATCTATTTACTTCTCTAATAGCACGTGCAGATCAACTGGGCAAAATCCGGTATATGTATCCGGATTTTTCCGATAGGGTTCCATAGTGGAATCCGCTTGGATTTCCTACTAGCCCCCTCTAGCAGGTGGTTCATATAAAGAAACAAACTTTAGTCCTAATCCTTGCGCATCTTCGGCTGGTAAGTGGAATTAAATTGAGGCCCTCGTCATGGCCAACACAAAATCAGCGTGGTAACGTTTCGAGTTTTGGCACTCCGGTGCGAGCAGTATCAGCCGCAGGTTAACCGGAACAACCATTACGAGTGTCTACGCTCACGGCTTAGTACAGCCTGCCCTTATCGATATATCTATGACCTCCAGTTCAGCCGTCCGGAGCCTATTTGGCCCACGTCCGCCTATTAGCAAATCCAGGCGGATTCTATCATGGAATCCTACTGGAAAAGTCCGAATACATATACCGGATTTGTACCGGATTTTTTCCACTTAATTTGTACGTGCTACTAGAGTTTTACACTGTTATTGCACAGGCTATGGTATTTATTACCGACTGAACGGCTGTTGTGTCCCTGCACATGCAATGACTTCGGTGGGAAAGAATAAGCAGCAAATTCGGCCCACCTTTGGAGCTCTGGCTGTTAGCGCTTGATCTTGTTTTACCTTTCGAATCAGCACATTATAGACTCGTTTAGTAAATGCGGTGCATTCGAGAGGAGGGCGCCTGTTTTGTGATGATTGTCTGAATGAAAACACATGTCTTGTGAATCCATGCAATCGAACTGTCGCCGACGGTCGTTTCAGTCGACCATATTTTTGGTAGAAAGATAACCTTAATATTTCGCACTCTTTGTACCGTTCTCAATCCTTCATAGATTAGCAGTAGTATTCCATTTACGCTTACCTTTTCCTTTTTATTTGTCAGATATCTTCTTCTGAAGCGCGTTTCCCAATGGATTCCAAGTACTACGATCTTAACGTGCCTCGGTCAGCAGCGAATGCGGCGACTATTGCTCGTCTCCTCGATTGCGAGTATTTATACCTGGCCATCACTGTATCTGTCAATATGGATCAATTCCACTTTAACCAGGACGATTCCCAGCGCAAGAAGTCCAAAGAAGCCAGACAGGAAATGCGCCAGAAAATCCTAGCTGAGCTCTCGCCACCGTCACGAGAAGATCTCGAGGCTATCTTAAAAGATAGTGAAAAGTTTCGCACTGTGAAGGCTATCCGTCCCAGCATCTGCCCACCGCGCCTCTTCACCCGTCTCAACCTGGCCTTTTCAGACACGGAACAAGTGGGCCTCTTTTTCAAGGAGTTTTCTGACCAGATTCGTGCTTACGACATTCTCAGCTTAGAGCCCCTGAATCAATCTGCCTTCTATTACGCCCTCGACTGTACCCTGCCTCTGGATCTCATCAGTTTGGACCTCATGCGTCCGTCAGACTATCGAC